CACCCAGTCTGCTAATGTCGTTTCAAGTCAAGCTAGCCAGAGTGCTTTTCGATGGGATGGAAGATCTCCCTGAGCCTCCACTCTGCTTTTCTTGAGGCATGGAGAGCCTGGAAAGACCAGGTGTAGCTGGAGCAGTGTGGGTGTGCGACCATATGCTGAGGGGTAGGTGAGCACCGGATGCTGGAGGTGCCGTACTCTGGCAGTCTAGCCTCAGACACCTCCAAAGTGTCCAACTGCAAGGAGCCATTTCTTCAAGGCTAGTTGTTTTCAGAAATGTGGGGACTGAGAGATAAGGATCATGGGGTTTAAAGAATCCATCTTTAAAAAAAAATGTGTTCTTAAAAATTTTAGCTGGGTGGTGGTGGCGGCACACGCCTTTAGTTCCAGCACTTGGGAGGCAGAAGCAGGCAGATCTCCGAGTTTGAGGCCACCCTGGTCTACAGGGTGAGTTCCAAGACAGCCAGGGATACACAGAGAAACTTTGTCTTGAAACAAACCAAACTAAGCCAAACCACACCAAAATTATGGGCATGGGTGCTGTCTGCATGTATGTCTGTGCACACATGTGTGCAGTGCATGTGGGGGCCAGAAAAGGGCATCAGATCCCTTGGAACTAGAGTTAAAGATGGTTGTGAGGCACCATGTTGGTCCTGGGGCTTGAACCCTGGTCCCCTGCAAGAGCAACAAGTGCCCTTAACTGTGGAGCCATCTCTCCAGCCCCCAAGGATGGATCTTTAAGATCTCAGTTTGCCATGTTCAAAATATAGAGTGGAAATTTTGTTCGAGGGGGACTCTGAAAGGTCTTCCCACAGAAGACTACGTGTGACTCAGGCCCTTATGAATGTGTGGGGCGTGGCTGGCTGGGGAGCATGGCTGCAGGGGAGGTTGCTCAGATGAAGGCCCTGGTGCCTCCTCTCTGTGCCCCTGACCGCCATGGGAGTGCCTCAGACAGTCCCTGACAGCCTGTGATAGGCCTGAGCAGGACAGAGTGTGTGTGTGTATGTGAGCATCAGTGGGTGTGCAGGATCCCTGAAGGTGGCTGGACCAGGCCTCCATCACATATGCTGCAGCTGAGTTTGTTGATAGCTGCCTCTGAAGTCAACACCACAGGCAGGAGGCTGTGCCCAGCGCAAGCCTGTGAACTGGTGGCTCTGAGCCTCACACACCCGCAGCAGAAGATCCAGGAGTGTCTGGGCTTCCAGAAAAAGACCTGAGCTGGACTTGACACGTCATTTTTCCAAACTCTGCCTCTAGGCCAACAAGTCCTCTGCCCCGGAGCTGGGAAGGGGATTCTCCCCAAACCCTCCAGCCCAATCTGCATCCTGTGGCTGCTCCTCAAGAGGCTGGTTGTAGGAATGTGCTTCTCATTGTCTTTCCCATCCAGAGCAGCTGCCTAGTTGTAAATGTTGCTAGCTGCTCAGGACCCTCAAAATGAACATGTGCCTAATTGTTCCTGCAATTATCAGCCACACCGTAATTAACTGTGAGTGATTTTTAATTTTTTTTTTGTTATGCAAGTCATTTGGAATGCAAACTTGTACCCAAGCAAAGGCTGATATCATGTCAGAAGACTGACCTTTTCTCAGAGGTGGAAAGGTATTGCCTGCTAGGTGTCCAGGTCTGAGCCCTCTACCTTAGAAGCAGCCTATAATGAGCCATTTTTCAAGGAAGGCTACATCTGAAGAGACTGGTCTTGGGGTTGGGTCTGAGGTATCATTATCCAGCAGCTGATCCTGGTGGGCCATGATTCTCAGACTCAGCTTTCTCTGTAGTCAGGGCCTAGTCTCTGGCTTCATGTGGTAAGGCACAGTTGTATGGCTATAAAGGTGTGAGCTGCTGCTGAGGTCCTCCAGTGGGAATTGGAGCCAGCAGGGAGAGGACACGTGACCAGGTCACTTGAAAATCTTGAATGACCCAAAAGCAGTTAAGGCATCCCCTGTGGGAATCAGAGGCTTACCAGTGTGGCTTGCGAAAGAGAAGCAGGTGTGTCTGCAGTCCAGGACACCCTCAGCCACTCATCTACTTGAGCTTCCAGGAACTGGGCTTGAGGTTGCCATCCTGAAACAAGCGTCTGCTGGTCTTGCTGTAGCCTGCACTCACCGTGAGCCTCTCAGGGAATGCGACACATGGTTTTCTCATCGGTGATACTCAGTCTGCTTCTGGGAGTAGGGTGGGGAGGAGTCTGGTCCTTGCTTCTGGAGTGTTCTTTGCTACCCGGGAAGGTGAGGTATTTTGAGTGGGCCCCGTAGAGAAATGAGTTAGCTTAGGTCCAAGATGCTGAGGAGGGACTCTAGCTGGGAAGGCTGGGATGTTAGGGGCCTGGACCCATGGTCAGCAGGTGATTCATCTTCGAGAACATCTGATGCGTGTCCTGGCCGGGCTCTCACCCTTACTGAGTTTCTGGCAAAGGACCAGGCTATCTTGGCCAGGTGTGGGTTGCTGTGGCCAAACCCTGGTTTTCCAAGCCAGGAAGAGTTGGAGTGGAGGCCTGTGCCCTGTCAAGTCTCCAGTCAAGATCAGACCCAGGGCTACGGGCCCTTTTCTGGTATTTGTGGGGGAGACTAAGGTTTGATGCACACAAGAAGCCCAGGCCACAGCATGAGTTCACATGCAAGCAGATTTCTGTTGAGAAACCCTGGTCCAGCCCACAATCCCCATTTACTTCCCAGTGTAGCCACCGGTGGCCCATGGGCAGTGGCGACCAAGACTATGTAGACCAGAAGAGACCTCATCTCCGGGGACCTGAGACACTTGCTGATGCTTGTCTCAAGGAGACAAGGCATCAATATTTCTGTGTGCAGAAACACCAAATCAAGGACACACAGAGGCTGACCACTCAGCTCTGTGCTTGGTAGAGAAACAGGTAGACAGAGAGAAGAACAAAAAGGGAGAAAGACCCACTCAGAGTGCAGAGGGGGCTGCCATCCGTGGGCTGGAACAAAGAGTAAGTGCACTTGGCGTCCTATCCTCCATGATGCACAGAGATCTGGTTTCCTGGCTGGTTCTGAGGAGGGAGGAAGAGAAGCTGAAAGGATAGTACTTCCAGGTAGATCCTGGCTGTGTGACTACACATGTCTTTGTGTTGCTATATCAAAATGACTGAACTAAATTCTCATAGTTCTATCGGTTGCCAGTTCCAAGAGTAGGCTTGGCAGGTTGGTGCCTGCTGTGTCCCCTGGTGTGACATTGTGTCCTCCCGGTAAAAGATGGGTGACTAGTGTGTGAAGTATGCTTGGTGAAAAGCCTCTGTAGTGTGTGGGAACAGGCCCCACTTGTGGCTCTAGTGAACCCTACTTGGGTGCCACTTTGAGCTGAAAGCTGCCAGGAGCCTCTGCTGGCTGACTCCTTGCCTGGCCACCAAGGGCCTCAGGGAGGCCGTGTGCTTCTCTACCTCTCTTAGCTTCTAGCCTCCCATGGCTGGTTCTGTGGGGCTAACAGAGGAGCCTGATAGGGGTAGATTTCTCTCTGCCCTTGCTCCTCCATGGGGAGGGGCAGTAGGGCACTTTCTAGAGTCCTTGGATGGGACTGGAGTCTGTGAAGATGAGTAGGGAATCCCCATTCATAGATCATCATGCTGGAAATTTCTGGAAGCTATGGAGAACAACGCTTGGACGTGGCTCCCCAAGTTGCCCTCTGGAGACAGAGAGTGATAGTCCCTAGCTAGTAGGAAGCTGCCTAGCGCAAGAGAGCAGGGCATGGCAGCCATCTAAGTCCCAGCAGTCGGGGTGTGACACTGACACTACCTGCTGTTCCCAGTACGAGGAATGACGGGCAGAGCTCTGCCTGCCCTGCCTAGAGAATCCTTCCTTGGCTCATGGATCCTTTCACATTTGAGCCCGGGACGAGGTACTGCAAGGAAGGAGGAAGGGAAGGAAAGTAGGAAGATAACTAGAGCTGAGGAGGAAATGAGGGCCCAGAAGCAGGCTGGAAGGAGTGAGGCAGAGGAGGGTGGACCCATGGGATCCAAGGAGAGCTCAAGGTGAGGGCAGGAGACGTTCAGGGCATTCAGCTTCGAGTGGTATTCTGGCTTGTGGTTCCCGACAATTCCAGTGATACCTAGGATGGTATCACTAGGATGGGTTGCACTGGAAATGGAGTGGCTAGGGGCCTGTTCGTGTGCATATACGTGTATACCGACAGATGCATGTGCATGCATGTGTGTGTATGTTTGTATATAGGCATGTGTATGTGCGTGTGTGCACACATGTGTATGTGTGTGTTGGCACTCTATGACGGATTTGACCATGCTCATGACAGAGGAAAGAATCTGCTGTAACCCAGGCCATGCGCTAACTCCTTTAGTCCACTATGGGTCCCAGGACCCTGGTGTTCATCACAGATTGCCTTCAGTCTAGCAACCTTGGAAGACTCTTAAGTGTTTTTTGTTTTTTTTTTTAACAAAGTGGACTTGCCAAAGCTCCAAGGGATTTTTGGGGGCAGGAGGGCTTAGGTAAAGAAGCCACATGCAGACTGGAGTATCTATCCAATGTGCAGGCCCCAGCTTCTCTGCGTCAGCTGCTGCTAGGGTAGGAAAGTGTGTTGGGGGGGGTAGGTCTAGCCCAGCTCACTCTTACATGCTGCACATTGACTGTGAGAGTTCTGAATTTAGGGCATCGGATATGGTTCAGTGGCAGAGCATTTGCCTAGCACCTGAGAGGCCCTGGATTTGATCCCCAGCACCATAAAAACAAAACAAATCTGCTCTCAATCTAAGTCTGCCTCCTTGTGGTGTCACAAAGGTGTTTGTTGAGCGTACTTTGTGTTTGCTTTATAACCTAAAAATGTAAAGTATGCATAGGACACGTGGGCCTCAGATGTGTGAGGAGTGGCCCTGGTTTTACGCCGCCTTTTCTGGTGCATAGAACAGTGCCCAGGTTTTAACAAAGCATGACAAGGCCTCACTCCTGACACCATCTGCCCTCTAGTCACCTGCCCAGAGCCCTGAACTCCATCAGATCCTAGAATGCACAGAAGAACACAAGCAAGCCAGAGGCCGACTACTTAAAAGGGGACTTTATTTACTCCTTTGGAGCAGCGTGCTAACGCCCAACTCCACTCCAGGACACGACAATTCTGCAAAGCTGCTGTTCCCTTCGGAACCAAGGCTGCCTGGCACTAAAAACACATTGAAAACATCAACTCTCTTCCCATTTTTTTTTCCTTTTTTTTTTTTCGGTACAAAATGATACAAACGACAATACAAAATATTTGTGCTGTTGACGATTACAAAAAAAGTTGGAACATCTGTCTCACCGCATGACGCTCAGGGCTGCAGTGCGAACGCATCATACTCCGGTATCTTTCCCAAAACAACCACGGTCATGCGGGCTGCTACACATTTGTCCATTTTCAAAAATAAACATGCAAAAAATAAATCAGAATGGAAAAAAAGGAGAGGAAGGAAAAGCAAGATGCGTCCCCGGTGTATACGGAGGTGATTTCCACCGGCCGGCTGGTGTGGCAGAGCCTGCTTGGTACGAGGTGTCTGAGCTACCACACAGGGTGCCCTGGGCAGGGTGATTCTGCTTCGAGTTTTTGGTTTTGCCTTTGAGTTTGGGCGGAAATGGAGACATCCCTCTCCTGTTTACCTTGGAGAGCACAGAGGTGTCGTCTCAATGTACCACGCACTCACTCTGGGGGAAACCGAGGCATCTCTGAGGGCCTGATAATTGGACATTACTCTGACACTTTGGTGGCAGGAGGCCTGGCATTTTGGATGTGCTGAAAGACATGAGAAGAAAACGGCTGGCCGGGAGTCAGGTGTGGCCGAGGCTGACCATGGCCAGGTATTCTTCCAAGCCACTCAGCAGTGCGGGCTTCTCCCTAAAGGAACTAAACCTCACCCTCGTACTGCACAGAGCTGGCCACCAGCCTAGGTTGGCTGGGCCCTGACCATAGACGCGTCGTATCTACAAGCTACAGGAGAGAAACATTTGACACTGACTGTATGCTTGGCTAATGCTAACTTGTTGGCCTGGGAACAGAGTTCCAAGATGGTTCCGGGGGTGTGTGGAACCCTATCTTTCTCTAGCCCTGGGGGCTGACTGGGGTGTGGGGTGAAGGGACAAGCTGTCCAGCTTTTGGGGAACCCCATGGATGTTCCTGCAGGGGCCTGGCAGTGACAGAGGCCTTGGGGATGGGGATTGGAGGAGGTGGAGGCAGGTGAGACATTCCTCCAGGTAGCTGATGGATTTGGCACCTCCCATCCCAGGATTCCAAAAAAGCCTTGGGATTTTAGGAGAGTTCTTAGCCACTGTCTCCCAATCAAACACAGCTTTCCGATAGAGCATTTGTGATTCTTGGGTTTTTCAAAATCAAACCCAGAAAATTCTTCTCATTCCCCAAGCCCTGGCCCACAGCAATCCCACCAGTAGCCACGACAAGCTCAGTACCACCCTCACTGGTTGCCGACCCCAAGCAATTTTGCATAGGACAGCTTCTCCACGAGCTCCACTGGCCTGGCTGGCTGTAGGGAGGGGGGCTCCCAGGAAGCTACAAAGGCCCCTTGTCCATCCCACCTCCTGGGCAGCCATATGAGGAGTAAGAATGGACACAGCTGAGCTTGTAGCCCAGCTCAGGTCCAGGAGTTCAGAGGTGGGGGCAGGTTTGGTTTGGGAAAGAACCCTGACATCCAATGGGTCATGCCCACAAGTTTGGCACCCATGAGTTCACTCAGGTGTGTCTTCTGAGGCCAAAGCAGTGTGGAGAAGGGAATGAACCTAGCCATCGGGTAAAGCCGGAGGCCAAGAGGAGCCATGAACTAGAGGCCTCTGGCTGGGGAGCATGCTGTCTCCTGGGGAACCCCAGCCCTTTTAAAGCCCTTCTGGCCCCAGCAGTGTAGGTATGGACTGGGGATCTGGGAGGAACTTGTTTTTCATCAGTGCTGCCACTTCTGCTGTCTCCCCCAAAAGTCTCAGCCACCAAGACCTCCCAAGCTACCATCACTCTCAACCCCTTTCTCTCGGAGTATGTTGGACTGCCTGGGGTGAGCCAGGAAGATGGCTCAGCACCAGATGCCCCTTCAGTGCCTGCCCTTCTGCCCCATCCCAGGGCTCCTTTGGGCCCAGACATGTGAATGTCCTAGGCCTGTTTTTCCCCCCAGTGATAAGGGCAGCTTTGCCATTTCCTGTAGGTCCTTGGACACATCCTATTGCTGTCCTACATAAGTGCTCACCCTGCCCCGTCTGCCCTGTGTCAAGCTGCCCATGGAAAGTGCCACACCAGCTCCAGAGAACAACAGAAACATGGGTCCAAGCCGGACCATCTGTGGTCATATGGGCACAGTCAGAGAACCTCTCACTGGCCCCTTGGTAGGTCCTGACATCCATAGCAGTTCATGGGGCCAGGCAGGAGCTCGGGCTAAATGGGCCCAAGGGGCCAAGCAGCTGCCAGTCTGGCCAGGCTCTGCTCTCTGCCCTCTGCACAGCCCGGGCAGTGTGCTGAGGGCATTCAGGGGTTCCGCTGAGGGGAGCTTGTGACTGTTAGGCCTTCAACAGGATCCCTCAGGGTCTCTTCTGACGAGTGGAGGGCTGTGTCAGGGTTCTGCAGGACACTGTGGCTTCTTGGACAACACGCTGTCCTGGACCAAGGCAAAAGGGGACCTCAGTGGTATTGGGGTGACGGCTGGTCCAGAGAGAGGCTTTCTGGTGGTGTTGAGGGCATGGCAGTGGCCAAGTGTCGAGGTGAGGACGGTCTCTGGGGCATCACACCTGTCTCAGCTATTTACAGTATCTTGGGGGCAGGGCACAAATTCAGGTGAAAGCTCAGTCCACACAGAAGTGGCTCTGCTGATGGGGTTGGGCTAGCCCAGCGTGGAAAACCCAATCCTCACCTAACAGCCTCGGGGAGCCCAAAGGGCCCAGGAGACCCTGGCCGTGCACAACAGAAGCTGTTGAGATCTGGACTCCATCTATTTTTGCAAATAAGTCACCCACGTTCTTTTTTCTTAATAAAAGAATTAAAAAAAAAAAAAAAAGGACATATTCTCTCCCACCCCGGCTTGTTGCCTTCAGGAGGTACCAGATGGGGCCAAGGGCTGTGGGGCAGGGTGGACAGAGGTGGGGGCCTCGGGCTGTCTCCTCTCTTTCAGTCACTCCTGAGTTAGGGAATCTGTCACGTGTACCAAAAGGCACTTTGTTTTTGATTTAACAGTGCTTTTGTTGTAAGATATTCAAGTTAGGGCTGTGCCTCTGGCTCTCCCTTCGCGGTACGTGGCTACTGAGATGCCGCAGTGGTGGTGGGCGCCTGGTGGCCTAAGTCCATACTGCGCAGCTCCACACTGTGCAGCTCCACCCGGGGATGGCAGCGGGGAGGGGCCTCTTGACGCCAGGACAGCACTGGCGCCTCGGCTCAGTTCCGCTGCTCGGCCTCGAGCGCCCTTCTCATGTTGGTGGGAGAGGTGAGGTCGGCTAATCCTCCTCACCACCCCCATACATGTCCGCCAGCTTCTTGAACCGGGGCCCCCAGTCATTCAGGTAGTCGTAATCTTGATCCCCGGAGCTCGAGGAGTTGAGGGAGCTGACAGAGCCTGCCGTGGAGCCACTGCCTTCGTAGTCGAAGACTAGCAGGGAGTCATAGGGGGGTGCGGTGGGGTCATTGTCAGCAGCCCGGAGTCCCTGGGGGAGGTCACAGAGATGAGGGGTTAGGGTGGAGGGTGAGCTGTGTCAGCCCAGACAGAACAGAGGAGGATCCACCCGAGCGGGTGGGGCAGGGGTAGGCAGGACAGGTGCTTACATACAGTAGATGCTCAATAATTGGCGCATGAGCTTGTCTGTAGGGTAGGGTCTGTCCAAGGGCCAAATGAGAAAGTATGTTTATAGGAACAGACACAGGGGCCAGAGAGATGGCTCCGAGGTTAAGAACATTCTTTGTTCTTGCAGCACCCACGTGGCAACTCACAAACATCTGTTTGAGGGGCTGTGACCCCATTTTCTGACCTCTGTGGGCCTTGTACACACATGGTGTACAGACACATATGCAGGCAAAGCACTCATACACATAATATAAAATAAAATAGATAAGTCTAAAAAGAAAAGACATGGAGCACAGGGACAGGAAGCTCAAAGCCACTGGGAGCTACACCAGGAGGCTGGGGATGGGCTGGGCCATGGGTAGTATTCTGCCCCACCAAGGGTGGGAACAGGGTTAGGCCTAGACTGAAGTAGGGGTTACCACTAACTCTACAGTCTGCATTAGGGTTAGGGTTCAGGTTAGGGTTAATGTTTGGGCCCAGAGCTAGGCTTAGGGTTAATGGTACAGATAGGCTGGTGAGGTTAGGGTTAGGATTAGAGTCAGCTATTCTACGGCTGGGGTGAGGACAGCTGTGGTTCAGGCTGCTGCTAGAGCTAGAATTTAGGAATAGGTCTAGTTCAAAGCCTAGGTTTTAGGCTAGGGTTAGGGTTGCAGTGAGCGCTGGGTTAGGGTTAAGTCTGGTGCTTTAGGAATTTATTTAGGGATAGGTTTAGGGAAATCTAGGGTTAGTGGTAGGGAGGGTTAGGGCTAGCTAGGTTAAGGTCCAGTGTCAGGTTTAGTGTTAGGAATAGGTCTAGGGCTGGGGTTGAGGTCAAATAATTACTGTTAGAGCAGTGGTTCTCAGCCTTCCTAAATTCTGTGACCCTTTAACATGATTCCTCACGTTGTGGTGAACCCCAGCCATAAAATTATCTTTGCTGCTACTGCATAACTGTAATTTTGCTAGTGTTATGAATCATAATGTAAATATCAGCATTTTCCCCAGTGATCTTAGGTGGCCCTTGTGAAAGTTTGGTTTGACCCCCACAGGTTGAGAACTTCTGTGTTAGACTTTGGGCTACGGGTACGGTTAGAGTTTGTTTTCAGCTTAGGTTCAGGATGCTTTATATTTATATCTAAACCAGAGTTGGGGCTAGCCTAACAGTTATGGTCATGTCTAGGTTTTAGGTAGGGTAATGCTAGAGTCAGTATATAATTAGATTAGGTTTAAGGTTAGTTTTGTTTTTAGGGCTATAGTTATGATTTTGTTATGGCTAGTAGTTGGATTATCGTTATGTTTGTATCATAACCAGGGTTAGGAATAGGTGTTGTAAGTGAGATTAATATTTACTAATAATTATCTTTTAGTAAAGCTGCTGTTAGTCCTAAACAGCTGTCTAACCAAATCACCACACAGAGACTGGGTTTATTTAGTTAACCTAGAACACAATGCTGGGCAATAGTTACTCCCTCTTAAACCTCCAAGCCCTCATAGTTTCCTAACATTTAGATTTTACCCATTAGACTTGCTTCTTGTGAAATGTTAGGTCTGGTTCATGTTATGTCCTTACTGCTCTAAAGGTTGGATTCACATATATTTTAGGTTTATGTAAAGAGAGATAATGTTACACTGCTCTGGAAACTGACTTATCCATTTAAACGTGAGACATTTTCATGGGGGAAAAATGTTGGTCATGCTTATGTAAAAAAGACACAAGAGGCTTAAAGATGGCAAAGTACATGCCAACCTAGTTTAGTCCTAAAAACTCAAACATTATATTCATATGTTTAAAAAACAAAACTGTCCTTCCCATATAAAAAAGAGGGCAAGCCAAAGAACAGCCAAAACCAATGTAAAAATCCAGGTACAAGATGCCTAGGATATACTTAACACTAAGGGTAAGAGAGTTTATATGCTAACGCTAAGAGAGTTTATATAAAGTTCGACTATAAAGGCATAACTTCCCAGTCTGTATAAATAAGGGGCAAGCCAAAAAATAGCCACTATCAATGTAAAGCCCAGGTAGGTACAAGATGCCTAGGGTATGCTTAAGTGCTAAAGGTAAGAGGGAGTTTAAATAAAGTTTGGCTATAAAAGCATAACTGCCCATTCTATATAAAAAAGGGGACAGGACAAATAGCTACAACCTATATAAAAATCTAGGGCTAAACCTCAAAACAGGTACAAGATACCTACAATATGCTTATATTCTAAATTAAAAAGGAGTTTATATAAAGGTTACTTAAAACATGCGTTTTCTATGGCTCAAGGCAACCAGCTTGTCTCTCTAATGGGAGGCTTCTCTAGGGAAATAGGCAGCAACTTGACCTAATACAATAGGCACACAAGAGCCCAAAAAGATATTTTAATCTATCCAACCTTGTTTTGATTTCAACATGATAATGATTGTATGTTCAGTAATAATGGTAACTTATATTGCTGATCCCTTTACTTGGAAACAACTCTGAAACTGACTGAGACATAAAAAAATGTCTCCAGCCAAAACTCCAACAATACTTGGCCAATAAATCCTTGGCTATAATATCCTCAAAATGTATTATGCTAATTTAATTGCATAGATAAAATTGGCTTACAGTTTAGTTTCATCCTGTACATCTCGTACATTTATAATTTTAGAACTCTATAATGCTTGTGAGAAATTATATGTTTGCAAAAGAACTGAACACCAGAGATGCTGGATCAAACCTGACAGGATTCATTCTTCAGCTTGCCGAGACATTGACACATCTGTTCCAGCATCTTGCATGTTTCAGCATTCTGCTTGTTCCTGCCTCAACTGCTTCAATTGTTGTTTCTCATCAAAGCTTGCTCCCAAGAGATCTTTGAAGAAAGATACTAATCGTAATTGGTCCAGCATTTTAGACTGTTCCAAACAGGACTTTTACTAAGCCTGAAATTCCTCAACATTCAAAGACTGGACCACAAATGTTATTGCTTGCTTAATTAACCAAATTTTTCCAATTTTCTTTGGGCTCCCTACCAGGCTTTCTGCATGTCCAAAATGTCAGCTAGAAGAAATCCATGAGAACGATGTTCAATTTTCCTTAAAAGGGGGTTGAGTAGGTTTTTGGTTGTTTTCTATGGCTATGAAATTTTATTGTCATTGGGAGATGTTTATAAATTATTAATGGTCTTATACAGAGTAAAACAAGGATTATACAGGGATATCTTATAGGAATAAGACAAAAGGTAGATTATTGAATCTACTCAACTTAGGGTTTTATTTGTTCTCAAATAAGGTTAATTTTAACTCTGGTATAGGATTTTGCATATTGATGCAAAATAAGTATTTTTGATACATTGGTATAAGCTCTAGTATATTGATACAATTTCAAGGTTACTTCCAATACTTTTAAACTGCTATCAAAAACTGGTTAGGATATTAAGTAATGCAAATTAATTGCTAGTTATTCAACTCATAGTCATGTCAAACACTAGTCTATTTTATCACAGGAATATACATTCTAGGTTTAACAGATAGATATGATTTTGTAGACAGATAGATTACATAAAGTTAGTCTTCAAAAACTTCAGACACCTACAGAATATGGCATTTAAAAGTTTCTTTATTATTTTAAAGATTCTTTGACAATGAGACAGGTCATCTCCTGGCAGCACCCCACCTACCTCAAAGAAGATAATAAGCATAGAAGAACCTCCATATGGAGATGGCTTCAAATGTGGCAAACGAGCCATTTGGGTAAAGAAAATACCCTTGCTTCACGACAGACAAATTCTGCCCAAAATGGGCAAACTTAAATGCAGGACAAGTCGACTGCTGAACTCTGCCAAGACAGGGTAAGCAAGTCCTAAATAGTTCCTGCTTCACATATATGTCTGTCAAATATTCTGAGCCAGAAGGTTGAAGATGATGCTCCAACATTGTAAAGTTATGGGTTCAGGCAACAAACTGTCTCTGTCAAATTTTTATTTTTTGGAAGCTGCTAACATGTACTTCCTATTTACTCTAATAACTAATTTTATTCCTTCTCAAGTCTCTGATGGGGTTGAAGACCAAATATTCATAGTGCCATATTTATGCTTAAGTTGTTTAGAAGTTAAATGCCTTCTTATAGGTAATACCAATAAGGATAAAAGTTAATTTAGGTATAGAACTTTAAACTTGTCAAGATAGAAAGGATGATCAGATACTTTCTCCTAAGTTGCTAAATACACATGGACTGGACATTGCACATGTAGATTTTACATAACAGTTTTCATAATTATTATTGTATTGAAAAAAAAAGGAGCCTTTTATTGGACTTAAAGGGGGAAATGTTGGTATAATGTTCTTTTGAAATGTATATACCTTACCTTTGTTCATTCAAATGCTGATTTCTCTCCCCCACTCTCTGGTTTCAGTCCAGATATTGTATTGTGGTGCTTATTCTAAGCATCACCTGTCTCATCTTTGTGTAAACTTCCAAATAAAGCAACTAGCCACAATGTTGAGCAGGGAAAGGAAGTAGGTGGAAGAGGGGAGGAGCCAGAGGACAGGAAAGAGTGGGAGGAAAAAAGGAGAGAGAGAGAGAGAGCTGGAGGAGAGATCTTGGAGGATGTGGAGCATGAACCAGACCTAAGATTTCACAAAAAGCAAGTCTAATGGGTAAAATCTAAGTGTTAGGAAACTATGAGGGCTTGGAGGTTTAGGAGGGAGTAACTATTGCCCAGCATTGTGTTCTAGGTTAACTAAATAAATCCAGTCTCTGTGGTGATTTGGTTAGACAGTTGTTTAGGACTAACAGCAGCTTTACTAAAAGATAATTATTAGTAAATATTAATCTCACTTAAAACAAATAGGTCTGGGTTAGAACAGAGGTTATGTTTAGGACTTGGCTTGGTTTAGGTTAAGTCTAAGGTTATTATGGCTAGCATTTTGATTTGACCTAGGGGCATTATTAGCTATATTGAGATATGACTAGTATTAGGGCTTATTGGTTAGGGTCAGGGTCAGGGTGTGATGAGGTGCAGAGTTGTGTGTTCTGCTTTTTCCTTGTTATTTAACTTCTTCCTTCTTTCCTTCCTTCTTTCCTTCCTTTCTGAAACCCAGGATTCGATCTCATTGTGTGGCTCCCATCATGCTTGGCAGTGCTGGGGATCAAACCCAGAGCCTTGTGCCACAGCACCAGCACTGGACCCTGAGCCCGGTCCTCAGCCTTCATGCTCTTAATAATTTTTCTTTTCATATCCCCACCCCCAATTCTTTTCTTCTCCAGTTGGCAGTTTCATTTCTTTGTACTCAGTCTTTCTAGTCCTTCATTATGTACTGAGTGCTTTGTATGTTTCTCTGAGTGCCACTTTGGCCCACCCCTGCCCTGGGAAAGGAACGTTCTTCTCTGTACCTTTACTCTGTGTCTGTTATTTCGTCTGAGTGACTTGAAAATGGGCCATGGACTGGAGTAGGGGAAGGCGGGACATGCTTTGCAGGGCTTAAACAGTTTGTTGCTCATGGTGTTGTCTGAGTGTCACTGGCTTTTAGGGAACTGCAGAACCTGGTGACATCTCCTGTGAGTATTCTGAGGAAACCTCTGGATATTTGCTGACTCACAACATGAGTTATCATGCAAGGGACTCTGCCACTGGCTGAGGTAGAAGAGTTGCTGACTCCACTTCAGATACAACGATTCTTGATCTGGTGGTAAAGCCCCAGCCCAACCCTCCCACCTCCATGCTGGGGGTCAGGCAGGGTCACAGATGGGACCCCAGGGAAGCTGGTTCTGCCGTTCCTCTTTGCTTTACCCCAGAAGAAGGTGGACAGAGGTATTAGCCAGGGACTCCATTGGTTGAGCAATAACATTTTCTGACACAAAAGTAGTTTGCTTTCCAGAAGTACAGTAAATGGTTCTCTAGACTCTTCACTGCCAGCCCTATTGCTCCCTAGTGCGGCTGGCCTGGGAGGTCACCTGACATCTTTTAACTCACTGCTCGCTGGTTATTCCTAGCAATGGCTAACCACATGCCCCAAAAGGAAACTTCTCCTTTGTTTGCTCTCATCCCCTTTTTGCCCCATAGCTACTCCAGCCTGTAAGTAGACTGTAAGTGAATTCCCTGGTTTATTGAATTAGAGATCTCCCTCTACAGATCCCTGCCTCTGTCTGCCAAATAAAAACTGTGCTCTTGTACCATAATTTGTTCCCTTTTGGAAGACTTTATAAGAGTCCAGGGTGTGGTGTGACATGCAGCTGGAGCCTCTCCTGGCTCTCCCTGCTGTAAGAGACCAAGCTTTTCTCACGGTGTGGAGGCCTTGGTGTTAGATCTTTAATACAGCCAAGCGCTGAAGCTCAGGAAGGGCTCTGTGGGATGTTTGGGTTGTGGTGGGGGCAGGAGTCAGAGGTGGCAGAGCAGAGCTGAGACATACAGGTCAGTGTGCTTGGGTATCAGGATTCCACTGTGGGCTGGAAGGCCATTCCCAGCTGCACTGGCTTAGTGTGTCCAAGAGCTGTATTGGTTGCTTTGCCACTTCCCCTGAGAATAGTTCTTACCGTCACCCCATTGTAGGTACAGTGGCCTAAATGGCCCCTAATTCCTGCTGAGCTAAGCTCCAGACCTGAGAGTCTTAGGCCTCCTACGAGAAGCTGATTCAAGAGCCAATGTGCTCAAGGCCACACACAGCAGGAGGGCCAGCCTGGCCTAGAGTCTGATCTCATCTACTTGTGACTCCACAAGCTCTGTGTTGTGTGTGAGTGTGTGTGTGGTAAGATTTCACCTTTAAAGGAGACACTTTGCTCAGGTCCTTCCGACGTTCATACCTCATTGATGAAGTCTCCAATGTCACCTGGATGGGGCACCACAGGCCTGACTGGGTACTGGGGTTCAGCACCTACTGGCCGTTCATCCACCCTCCGCACACCAGGGGCCTTGCTCAGCACATGCTCCATGGCCTCCGGCTGTTGTAACTGGCTGAGGTCATAGTCCTGGGGATGGAGACCAAGTCGGTCAGGGGAACTGGAGCATGGGGGCAGCACACAGGGCAACTGGGAGAATCCTGAGCACACCCTCCTTCAGTCTCGTCACCTGCCCTGTGGGCACCACTGTACCGGTCTCCAGGCACCCTTACTGTCCTAGCCCATCCTTAGGCCTGCCCTTTCCACATACCTCCTCTTCTCCATTTGCCCCAGTCCTGCCTGACCTCAGGGTAGCCATGGAATCTTGGCCTGCCAGATGCCTTGCAGGGGCCTCGACCTCCCCCCTGCACGCTCAAAAGTAAGCCTCCTGCCTGCAGCTCAGGAGCCTTGCACAGCCAGCCACCTTGCGTCCTTAGTGATGGCAGGAAAGGGCTGGGTTCTCATTGGCCTGACTAGATAGCTCTGTGTAATCTACCCATCCTGGTCAGAGACGCTCCCCCGAAACACACACACACACACACACTGGCAATGTCCAGTAGGTGGGTGTTGATGTCCCCAGAAGACTCTGGACTGTTTTCTCCAGGGCACGGGGCAGCAGCGGGTGGGGCTGGTGTCTGGAGAGGGAGGAACGTGTGAGGAGGGCAGATCTGCTGAGAGGATGCAGGCAGAGGCTGCACAGTTAGCCCAGGCCTGAGCACACACACAGGAGAGGCTGCAGCCTGGGCCCAGATCTGCGCCTCTGGTAAGGAGCATGCAACACCTTTCCATAAGAAACAGGACGAGACATGTGAGGCCAAAAGGCCAGGATGAGCCCTGCTGGGGCCGAGGGCTACTGTGGGGCGGCAGAGACCCGTGGCTCACCTGGTCTTCCTCTCCACCACCTTCCTCATCATACTTGAGGATGTTGTCGCGCACATCGTCCTCAGGGTCGATGAGCAGCTGCTTCGTGTGTCGCTCCTTCTCCCTCCGTTTCATCCACACAACGAACAGCAGGACCATGGCTGTGAGAGGAGGGGCCGCCCCGTGAGCAGTGTGTGTGCGCATGATGTGCACAGGTTATAAATGTGTGTGCATGCATGGCTTTTGTGTACACAAATGCGCACGCCCAGGCATGCACATCTGATGAACATATTCTGTGTTCATCTACATAAGCAGTTAGGCATGTGCACGATATGCACATGTGTAGACACATACATGTGAATACCAAGTCCCAACTATAGAGTGGAAGCCAGAGGACACCTGAGCCCAGATCTTTCACTCCCCACTGTATTCCTTTGAGGCTGGGTCTGTCCTTGAACCTGAATCTTGGCTGTCCGCCTGTAAGGTCCAGTAATCCTGTTTCTTCACCTCACAGTGGGGTGTCAGGTGTGTGCATAGCTATGCCTGGGGCTCTTAGGAATTTGGGATCAGGTCTTTCTGCTTCTGCAGTCAGTGCCCTTACTACTGAAACATTGATCCTCAGTCCCTGTCATGCAATTCTTTCTGTGAACATTTTATCCGGAGTTGATTGCATATCCAGATGTGGAATCTGAGATGGCTAATGGCCCGCTGGATTCATTTTCTCCTTCATGGGGTTGGCTGACTGAGCACAAGTGTCACTCCCTAAGGGGCAGGAGGACAAGGGTAGAGGGTGAACTAAGAGACCACTATTCTTAAAACCATTAGAAGGTGTGGCTTTGGGTCCAGAAGGCAAAAGAGAGGGCTTCAGGGTACCACATTTCTAGGCAGGAGCCATGTGGGGGTGGGGTGATGCCTCTATGGTGGAAGGAGACTGGGGCAGGGGGGCCCAGAAGAATGTCTCCAGCAGGAAGCCTAGGGGTGAGTAGAAGCCATTTCCTGTACCTCCCAGGTCACCCCAGAAACACACTGGGATAAGGGATAGCTGACTCAAGAGGGAAGGCTGATTGGAGAACAATCCCAGTGGTTCTTCTACCCAAAGGACTCAGGCTCAGAATGAGAGATTATGTCCCCTCCCTGTCACATGTGTAGATGTGTCTCCTTTGCACTTGTCCTGTGGCACTCTGCTTATCTCTGGACCTCTGGGAAGGGGAGTGCTCAGCTTTTGCATGCTCCTCTCTGATAGGTCTCTGTTCCTGCCTGGGTTCTGAGGGCAGGGCTCCCGTGAACAGGAGACAGGGGACCTCATCATCATGAGGGTATAGTTTCTTCAGGTGTGCTTTTTGCAGCCGCCACCATCTCTCCACTGTTAGATGTACAGGTGGAAAAGAAGGAGGAGGAAGAGGAGGGGGGCAGACAAGTCCTCTAGGGCGCAGGGAGGAGACAGTGAGGAGGGTGTGGGCAGTGTTGCAGGCTGCCTGAAGGGTGGTCACCTTGATCAAATGGTTTGATTGAATGATGGGACAAGAAAGACTGCAGCTAGCGTAGGCTCAGAGGCCAAAAGCCTGGCAAGTGACAGGACGAGGTGATAGCCAGGGGTCCTCTTGGTGTGGCCCACACCATGGACAGGGAACTGGAGAGAGAGAGTAGCAGAGGTCCCACCTGTGAGCATCTAAGCAGAAACCAGAAACCTCGAGTCACTTTCCACCAGATCAAGTGGCCAGGAGACAGCTGTGCAGCTGGTGTCTTAGCTGTGTCACCTGAGGAGATGTGTGGAAGAAGGGATGTGCCCCCTGTGTGCCTCACCTGTTAGGGCCACAGGGCTGTCTGTATTTTGATCCCTGGCTTTTTACGCCCAGCAGGTTGGAGAGGGGCCTGGGTTCCCTCTCTGGCTGGTAGGTTCACTCACGACCACAGGGGCACTGCCTAATTTTGTATTCTTCCCTGCCCCTTGTGTTTTCAGAGGAGGATGTGGGCCCTATCCCTGCCCTGGTGTCACCCCCTTCCCATAGTGGGGATGCTTCTGATCCCACGTAAAAGAGACATCACACTGACCGTCTGGTCAGATGCCTTGGAACCAGAAGTAGTTAGAGGGAACCCCGCATCTGGAACACTTGCCAGTACTCACTTAGCAGGATCACGATGCAGATGAGAATAGCCACAATGGCACCTGTGCCCAGGCCAGCGGCAGCCACGGCACCAATGGTGGTGCAGTCACCATTCTCATCACATGGGCACACCTTGACTTTAATGATGGACGTGTTGGACAGGGGAGGGTTGCCAGAGTCCGTGACGATGATGGGGACGTCATACACCCCAGCTTCCAGGTACAGAATGCGCAAACTGAGCTGGGCGTAGTCACCTGGAGTAAGGAAAAGCAACATTCAGCTGACAGGCAGCTGTCCTTCCCAAGGAAGACTTCCACGGGCGGGCACTGAGTCTGATGGCATGAAAATCTCTTTCTCACAAACATGTGCATGTACATACATCCAGCGCATATGTACACATATGCCTGCACGCAGGCACGCAGGCACGCACGCGCGTGCGCACACACGCACACACGCACACAGGAGGATCTGAGTTTTATTCCCCCAGGGCCTGTCTGGCACAGAGGGCACACTTATAGGCTCAGAGCTGGGCAGGCAAGAGCAAGCAGATCTTTGGAGCTTTCTGGCCAGCCAGAGAGGCTCTGCCTGAAAAAACAAGGTGGGCAGCTCCCAGGAACAGCAGTGGAGCCTGACTGTGACCTGCAGGGCACATGCGCACACATGTATCTGCACATATGTGTGCCTGAATAATACATTGACCCACAAAGCCAAAACATGGGCCGTAGCAAAAAAGAAAGGGAGTCAACATGTAGGATGAGGAAAGAATTTCCTGAATGTGTAGAGTTTCATAAAATCAATTAGGAAAAAAAAAAAAAATCTCTCTCCCAAAGGGAGGGAAAAAAAGGGCAAAGGTCTTGAGCCAGAACCCAAACCTCTACCAGGTGCCCAGAGATAGAGGACAGCAGCGGCTTTGCTTCTTGAAGCAACACCCTGTCATGCTGGCAAGGGCCTGAGGAACAGGTAGTTCTGCTGGTAGAAGCATAAACGGGCATTGCGTCTCTGGGAAGGTGTAATTCTCCTAGCACTGGCCACCCAGGAAGGAGTGCCTCCTAAGGGATATAGTCTTCAGAGCCAGTCAATCCACCAGAGCTGCCTGCATGGGCTGAGCTAGGCCCTTTCTAGATCAGTGAGTGGCAGGGGCAGGGGTAGACAGGGCTGTACTCTGGCCTTGTGTGTGAACTGTCTGGGAGGCGAGGGCTGTCTCCCATCTTCCTGGCCCACTGTTCCTTGGTGGTGGACCCTGGGCCACATCCGAGATCGTGGTTCTGCCTGTGGCCAGGGCGCTGTTGGGTGGGCTCACCGTTCAGGCGGGTGATGGTCCAATTCTTCTTCACTGTGGTGGGGATGAAGGGCAACTCAAAGACGTAGGGGCCGATGTTGGGGTCCATATCAGCATCGGCTGCGGTGATGTTGATGGTGTTGAAGCCGGGCCTCTCGCAGATCTGTGCCTCCTTGGGCAGCAGCTGTGGCGCGTTATCATTGATGTCAATGAGGTAGATCTGCAGGGTCCCAGTGCCGCTGGCCGGGGGGATCCCTGCAGGACAGATGGGGTGAGCACACAGGGCCCTTCCTACACAGGACAGACAGATAAGTGCACTCCCCAGGGAGACACACAGCCACGCACTGATTGGAGTACACGTGTCATCTTGTTATCTGTGGTGGAACAGAACCCAGGTGTTCTTTCCTCGACGGGGCTGGCTGCTCATCATAGGCTGTCTGTGCTGCCAACTTGAATTTTATGCTTTTTTTTTTGTTTTGTGTGTATGGATGTTTTGCCTGCATGTATGTCTCTGCATACTACTCTGTGTAGTGCTCACAGAGGCCAGAAGAGGGTGTCAGACCCCCTGAAACTAGAGTTATAAATGGTTGCCATGTGGATGCTGGGGATTGAACCTGGGTCCTCTGGAAGAGTAGTCAGTCAGTCTTAACCACTGAGCCATCTCTCCAGTGCCTGTATAGCCAACTTTGTTACTGCAAGGACCACAGGGCCTGGGGGCAGCCAGTTGGGTTAGGGTTTCCTTGGCTTTCACTTGCTATGGGACCAGATTTGGGGCCACAATAGTTCTTGCTGTTGAAGTTTCAGCTGCTCAGGTCTCCCAAGAACCCACCAGCACAATCCTGTCTTGGGGCCTTTGTTTGTTTTCCTTCCAAGAACAAAATGTGCTTCTCCCCTCCCCCCGTCCCCAGCTTCTCCCAACACCTTTACTCCCTCCCAGCTCTTCTCTCTACTAAAATGATCTGTTCTTGTTTCTCCGTCTCTGCAGGGCAGGACGGCTGCCCTCACTGCTCTCCTCTTTTTCTGTTCTCTTTAAGGGGAGAACTGGAGCTCAAGTGTTAGCCCAGACTGTCATTGTCCACTGGGAGGTTACGTTCCAGCTAGAGTGATCCCCTGACTAAGTTCTGGTTGTCACAAACTGAGCAGGGATCTTGTGTAGTGCCTCCTGGACATCCCCGGGAGAGCATGGATGAGCACTGCACCCTTCCTGCTCTTCCTTCTGCTTGCCGGAATGTGGTCCTGATGTCTGGAGCATCCATGCTGGACCATGCCGAGGCACAGCATGGCCATGGTGTGAGTGGGGTGGGCTTGGTTATCAAATCTCACCCTGGCTGCCAGGTTTCAGACTTTGCTCTCTAAGTTGCTGAGGCTAGCCTTGAACATACTCTGTAGCCCAGGCTGGCCTTGAGATTTCAACCCTCCTGTCCCAGTCACTTGAGTCACCAGGCCTGGACACTTCTCTCCCCTCCCTTCCCCTTTCCTCCCCTTTCTCCCTTCTCCTTGCCCTCTACTGCCCCTTTTGCTGTACTGGGAGAGAACCCAGAGCCTCATACATGCTAGGTAGGCACTGTATGAATGAGCTATATCCCCAGCTCCAGGCCTCCTTAATGTGAGAGAAAAATTCCTCTCAATCTTGTTGTAGTTACTGCTATCCTGCAGCTGAAATGACCTCTACTGGGAAACAGGCTTTGCCAGGCAGGGGCTTAGGTCTGTCCTAATCTCTGGAAGGCACCAGGCCCTCAGTGTGTTCTGCTAGCTGAGGCTTGTCTCTTCTGACTCTGGATCGGTTCCTGGCCTTGTGTGGGCTCTCAGTGAATGACAGGATAGCCTTCGTTATCGCTGTGGAGAACATTGACCCCTGGATCACTCATAGGCTTGTCATGACCCATGAGTGATGTGACTCTCAGTGATAGTAGGCTCCTCTCATTCTGCCAAGGAGAAAGCTGAGGCCCAGAGAGGCCAGGGCTCTCCCAGGAGCAATGATGCTAGCTAGACTGATCTCTGCTCAGAATTTCATTTACCTAACCTCCAACACACGGAACCCATGAGAGTGCTCAGCTAGACTTCAGGGTTCTGTGGGTCTTGAAATGGACCTCTTTGGCATTGGTTCCTCCTGTGCTTGGTCCACAGTCCTCAGAAGCCTCATGAGAAGCTGCACTGTCTTCCTTAGCATGGCACATCATCCTTCTTGTTCCATTCCACATGTCCTTTCTCTGTGCTGCCTGCCTACTGCCCGCCTAGTGCCCTCCCTTGCTCCCAAGGGCTGTGCGGCCTACTCTGAGTCCCAGTCACAGGGCTAGGGTCACACGGGCCTTCCTGCCTTTCCAGCCTAAGGTGCCAGCTAACAGTGCTGAAGAGTAGCAGGTCTGTTCTTGCTAGTAAAGGCAGGCTGGGATAGCCATCTGGCACAAAATTCTCTGGTTCTTGACTGCCCTGGAGCCCTGAGTGAATGAGGGACACTGGGAACACTGTGGGGACACGATTGGGTAAAGGAGTAAGCAGGAATAAGCCCTCTAGACCTCTCTGTAACTCTCTGGGTGCCATTGGGCCCCCTCAGGAGTACTCTCCCTTGCCCACAATCCCAGGACAGGGGAAGCTGCTATGACAGAGCCTCCCTGGAATGGGACACACCATTGTCAGCTGCCAGGAAGGTGGCCTCATACACATTGTTCTTGGTGTAGAGGGACTCTCGGTCCAGGACTGCGGCTGTGGTGATCTGCCCATTGGATGTGTTGATATGCAGCCAGTTTGCAGGGTCAGACAGCTTCGAGTACCTGCAGACAGGAAACCAGAGGCAAGGTGAAGGCCCCAGCGCCCTCCACCCAGCCAGCGTTCTGGATCACAGTGCACTGGCATTTCTGTCCTCAGAGCCCTTGGAGGTTTCATGCACCTCTGTGTCCTTCCCACAGAGGAACAGGCCACAGCAGTGGCTTATGCCTTAGTTTCTGGAGGACTCCAGGAGGCTGTGCTCTCATCATCTACATCTTGCAGGTGGGTGGGTACCCTGAGGTACAGAGAATGTAAGCAGCTCGCTCAAGTTGCTCACCACTGTCAGTGAGGCCTGCCTGGCCCCACAGTCTAAGCATCTTCCTTGTCAGCCTGGACATGGTGACAGTGCTCACCAATGCCCAAGGCTGTCCTCCCCCTCTCCCTACCGGGATTCCTGGTTTTTCAGGCTTCTTTGGGCTTTCTGGGACTCTTCTGTGTGGCGCATAGGACTGTATCCAGCTTTGAGGGTCACACAGGGCGAGGCTATGCTGAAGACTCACCTCACGGCTTGCTGCATGAACCGGTCAGGGTCCACCGCGGAAAATGTGGTGAGTGCGGTTCCGGTAGGCACACCCTCTTCCAGGCGGATCAGTTTGTGGTTGGAGGGGAAGTAGGGGGCCTCGTTGACATCGGTGACAGAGATGGTCACCCCCGCTGTGGACTGGAAGGACATTTGGATCCCGCTGGCCAGGGGCGCCTGGTTGGACACCATTACGGTCAACATGAAGGCACGGTTCAGCTCGTAGTCCACTGCCTGGAAAAAGGGACAGGTGAGCGGGGGTTTCCCACCACGGGCATGGGGCTTGACATACCACTGCCCAGTCTCTTCGATGCTCCCTGCCTTGCTTTGGATGGTGGCCTGGTTTCCACTGTCTCTCTACACCAGACTCTTGTCTCTGTTCTGGGTTCTAGCCAGTGAGAAGATAGAGGGGTTGGGGTAAAGGGTCTCTAGCCAGTAGCCCCATGCCTTGATGAGGAAGAGGCTGGTTTTCTGGGGCATCATCTTTCTGACTGAGCTTCCTAAGTGTTGGGATTGATTGCAGGTGTGTGCCTCCACGGCTGGCTTCATGAGTTCTCAAGAAAAATTCCTGAATTGCTGAGTAGTCTGGAGAGTCACCGCAGCCACGGGAGGCTCAGCAAATGCAGCTGAGGGACGAGAGTAAAGGTGGCCAAAGGTTGATTTCGGTCTTAGGATAAGATGGGTCAGTGGGTAAAGACATCTGCTGCCATGCCTGATGATGAGTTTGATCCCCAGATGTCCCCCCCCCCCGCTAGATAAAGTTTAAAGAGTGAGTTTCTGCTGGACACAGTGGTGCATCCCTGCAGTCCTAGCGTTTAGGAGGCTGAGACAGGAAGGCTGCAAGCTGGAGGTCAGCCCCGAATACCACGGAAGATGCCTCACAGCTCAGACCAAACCAAGCCAAATAGCAGTGCTTAAGCTCTTACTTGCTTAACTTTTTCTTGTACTTGTTACTAATGTTGTGTCCCCGGTTGGAGACTTAAAGTAATATAAATGCAGTTCTGGGGTCAGAATAAAATGTCTGTTCCTAGGCTAGAATCCAACAGTGGGGCAAGTTTCTCCCAGTGACTCCTGTCTCATGCATGTCCACCCAGAAGGGTGTGCGGGGTCTTGCGCCAGATGTGGCTTCTCACCTCCACTGCTTCTGACTTCTGCCTGTCTTCATACCTCCTCTTTGTGATGATTAGCTTTAGGTCAGCTTGCAACACAAGTCAGAGTCATTATAGGGAGAGGGTACCTCAACTGAAGAAATGCTGCCACCAGGTTGGTCTGTGGTGCGTCTGCTTGACTGGTGAATGATGTAGGAGGACCCAGCTCACTGTGGGTGGGGCCACCCTGGGGCAGAAGCTATAACAAAGCAGGCTGAGCAAGCTATGGGGGCAAGCCAGTAAGCAGCTCTCCTCCATGGCCTTTGCATCAGCTCCTGCCTCCAGGCTCCTGCCCTGACTTCCCTCTATGATAGATTGTGCCTGGGACATGGAAGATGAAACAAATCCTTTCCCCACCAAGTTAGGTTTGGCTCTGGTGCTTATTACAGCAATAGAACCCCCCCAACTAAGACACTCTCTGACTTTCCCTCTTAAAGACCTCTGAGGTTGCACTGGGCTGACCCAGATGGTCCAGGCCCACCTCAAACTATAAGCCCCTCAACACTGTCACATCTCCAAAGACTCTGCTGCCGTCTGGGACACATAGTCACAGGTTGTAGAAACAGGGAAGGGGTCCTGGGGGAGATGGCTCTGAAGGTGTTTCCAGGCCCCTGCTGTTGAGAAAAGTTTCTACACCTGGTTGGAACTTAGGTAAGTGCTAGACAATGGGATGCTAGGAGTGGTCCTTGTGAGAATCGGCAGATGGATGATGCAGAGCCCAGTATACCACCCTGCAGCTTGTGTTAGTCTCTGGGAGGGTCAGGCTGCCATCACCAGAGTCCATAGGCCAGGACTTGATGACCATAAGCAAGATAGCCACATACCATAGTTCTCCAGCCACCAGCCTCTTCCTGAAGGACCTTCCTGGCTAACTCTTTCCTCGAAGGAAGCTCGTGAGAACAGGGCTTGGACACTTGGCTCAGATGCCATCAGATCCCAATGTGGGAACACTCACAGCCAACTGACTCAGCTTCTCCAGCAGGGCAAAGGTAGGTAGCGTGTGAAGCCTGACAGTTACGGGGGAGTTCTCATGGCAGGTCACATGGCCTGCCCGGGTCTTTATGAGTTGTTTAGGGAAGAGCTTTGCTTGTGGAGCTGGCTTGCCACTTGTGTCTGTGTCCCACCTTCATGTACCACCCTGTATGCTGAGCCTGACCCCTGAGTCTGTGGCTAAGTGGCTCTGAACTCATCCTATCCCTGGATTTTGTAAGTACCTGTCCTTGGGGCCCTGAACCGGGGTGTCCCAGCGCTGCCACTAGGTGAAGAATCTATGCATGGAAAGGAATTCAAAACTAGATAATAGTGTCACTGGTCATGGGAAAGAAACAGAGGCACTGAATCTAGAGGGGTCAAGAGGGGGTGCCAGAGAGGCTTCTGGCTCCCTGATGGTGACCTTGGTGACCCCTCCCTCTCCCCAAGCCTGGTCTTGGGGAGGCAGTGGATACACAATTTCCTAAGCTCTGAGTAAGACCTCACCTCTCCATGGCACCCATGATGTCACCTGTCACTGTCCCCAGGTCCAGGAGTATGGCCAGGGTGGTGCCTCTACCTCCTTAGCTGGTGAGTTTAGCTGTATGAGTGGGGAATGATCTGGTCCCTCCCTTGCTGTACCTCTGCCTGGTTTGTACTGTGTTGCTGGACTCCATATAGGTGCATTTATAGGTGAGGCCTGTGCCCACAGGGTCACTGGACTGGACCCACAACCACCTGGGCTGGCTGCAAGTCTTCCAAGGCTCCCAGGGAAGAGTAACCGGCATCCTTCCCTTGGAAGGTCTCACGGAGGCTTTTAGGCCAGAAACAGTGAGCCTCCCTCAGACCTATCTAGTCTTGGCTCCTCTGTACTTAAACTCTAGGTGACACCAAAACTCCCAGAACTGCTACCACACTGAGTCTTCCTCTTGCAGAATCAATGACTGGCAATGCCTGCAGCCCCTCCTGGAAGCCTGAGGCAGAGGCCAGTCTGTTGTAACAGGCTGCTTCATAAAACTGTGGAGGGCAGAGTCTCTCTGTGTTTATTGGCTCATGTCCCTGTGGGACACGGAATCACATTGTATGTGATGCACTAAGAATTGTGTCATCAGTCCTTCCAGAAACACTATTGCCATTAAAACCCACAGGTAGGAAAGATAAGACACACCTGTAATGTGGAAACTAATAGAAAATTTTCTCTGACAGTTTCAGTTAGGGTGCTTGTGCTCCCCTCAATGACCCTTGGCCCAAAAGAGGCCCAAGTGCATCCTGGAGAGGTGGGCCCTAGAATCAAGCCAGAGAGGAGCCTTAGCACAACACCCTGCTCTGAGAACTGTACCAGAGGGTGTGTGTGTGCGTGTGTGTGTGTCCCCATGTGAACAAGGGGGTCTTGTTCACAGAGTAATGCCAGCCAGGACATGAAGGCCAGAATATGAACTGTGCCATCTCTCCTTTCCCAGTGGGAAATTGTGCGTGAGAGGTAGAGGCCGGAGGATCAGGAGGATCGGGAATTTAAGGCCAGCTTCAACGTCACAAGTTGGAGGCCAGCCTGAGTTAGGAAGACCCTGTGGAGGTTGTCTCCGAAGGGTTTAGTCCTCTGCCATAGGTGCCTGGCAGACGCTCATGTTCCTGGACCATGTGCACGTAGTAGTTACCCACCTTCACCACGGTGACCATGCCCTCATTGGTGACAGGGTCTGTGCGAACACTGAAGTGCCCCGAGGGGTCCCCACTTATTATTCGGTAGACGGCATTCCAGTTGGGTGAGTGGGGCTGATCTCGGTCCATTACTGTGAGGTTGGCAACTACTGTCTCCACGCGGTTTTCCGGAACCTCTCCTGCAAACTTCAAAATTGAAGGAAGAATATCAGGGCTTCGGATGGGAGCCTGGGGAGCCAGACTCCCTGCCGACACTGGGAAGGATCAGGATTGCTGCTCTGGAGTAGATTCCCTAGGTAGATGGGGGCAACTGGTGTTCACTGCGATGGCAGCTGGGTGCCAAAAAGAGTGCCCTGACTCCTTTGGCCTAGGCCCAGCAGCATCTGACTCCATCTGTACATAACTACTCAGAACAAACCTCATGTTTGCAGTAAGCTCCTGTCCCCCCCCCCCCGCTCTCCCCACGGCCAAGCTCAAGCTTTGCTCATGTGCATGGAGGGTCAATGACAGGTAGCTAGGAGGGATATGTGATGGAGAGTGGGGCAAAGCTGAGTCTCAGAGTGTCAACTGCAGGCGGCTTCTGAGAGAAGCACGTCCTGGATCCTGCCACCATGGGGTAAGCCACCATGTCCCACGGTGGTAGCCTCTCTAAAGCTAAAGCACCATGAGGTTGCAGTGTGCACCCAGGAAGGCTCTGTGGGCTCATTTGGAGTGGGGGAGGGGATGTCTGCCTTAGGAATCCAAGTGCCCTCTGCTGACTGTGGCCCACCCCTGGGGCTGGCCCAGCAGCTTTGAGATCACATGCTTTGCTGTCTTGAAATTCACCTTAGCAAGATAAATAATTGTCATGTCAGTTCAAGTCAGATGGGAGCCCACTGTACGTATCCTAGAGGATATCCCCCCAGCGCCTCCCAGTGCTGTTCTGGAACCTTCCTCTTCCAGCCTTTCGATGGAACAATGGATGGAAGCAAAGGGTTGCTGTAAAGCAGAGACTTCCTTTGATTTTCAAGCCATGTTCAGCTTCGCTGCCCTGGAGCAAAGAGGCCTGAGGCTGGGGAAGATTCCCCCCAGGAAGCACGAGAGGAAATAAGTGCGCACAGCCGGTTTCCAGAGAGTTCTGGGAGGTGAAACCCTGCCTTCAAACCTTCTGCCTCTCTGCCATTTAGCACAGAGGCGCACAGGCAGTCACAGCACACCTGGGTCATGGGCACACGTGTCCAGTGTCTGGCTCCCTTGCTGGGCTCCCAGGTTCCTCTGTGTGGCTGGGCGAAGCCGTCATTGCTGGTGGCCTCCATGGTGAGGTTCCCTCTTCCTGCCACTGCCCCCAAGTTGGCACTAGGGTTGCCATGGTGTCTGAGTGTCCCCACAAAGTGATAGGGGGAGGCTTCCTTGGAGGGACATCACAGATGCTTGGGGAGCAGTGTTGCAGGTTGAATCATGTCCCCCAAATTTATATGTTGAGGCCCTTAGCCCCAGCACTTCAGTTTGTAACCTGTCTCAAGAGGTGTTAGCAAGAGGCTGGAGTTGTCCTAAGCCAGCCTGTCTGGTATCTTTGTTAGAATAGTCCCAGTGACATATGCATCGAAGGTGTAGTAGTTATTTTTTTCTTATTGTTATAGCTAAATCTCTCACAAAAGCAACATAAGGAAGGTTATTTTTTTGCTCACAGTTCGAGGGCTCAGTCCACCATGGCAGGTAAGTCATGGAGAATGCTGGTCACCCCGCACCCACAATCAGGAAGCAGAGGAGAGATGAATGCTGGCACTTGGCTTGTTTTCTCCAGTCCAGCATCCCAGCCCATGGGCGGTGCTGCCCTCATCCTGGGTGGCTCTTCTCTCCTCAGTCAAACCCCACTGGAAACTCTCTTACAAACACCCAGAGGTATACCTCTTCAGAGACTTTAAATCCAGGACCTTTCGGAATGTCTAGGAGAGACATTCTCTTTTAGAACAGATTTCCAGCATTCACTAAGTCTGAGAGGTTTCCTAGATCTTCAGGAATGTCCAGATTCTCTTACATGCTTTCCAAAAGTGAGCATCTTTAGCCATGACAGTAAAACAAATTCTGTTGGGTTCTGTACAGAAATCAGAACCCTAGGTTTTGGATTCTGAAGCAACTTGGAGTCTGATTTCTCCCCCCGACTGTGAGCCCCGGGGCTGTCAAGTTGCAGACATCTATGCAGGCTTGCAGGCTTCATGAGGTAAGAACAAATAAAAAAAAAATGGAGTTTCAGTGGGCTCTGGGATTGTTCCTGGCCAGCAGCTGGTTAGAGGGCAGCCAGGTTGAGGCAGGATATCTTGGCTTTGCTTCCTTTCCCAGCTTGTGCACACACTGCTTGGCCAGGTGGGGGCCTGGGACCCTAAAGAGCATAAAGTACTTCTTTGGACAGAGGCTTTGAAGTCTTGGTTCCAGGCTGAGGGGTGGTTTGTTGCTACGGGTCCCCCTTGCTCTTCCATGAGTTGCCTGCCTCTCTGCCTTCTCACCAGGCTTTTCTGCTGGGCAGGGCTTTTCTACTGGCCTGTCTGTGGTGTCCCTCAGAAGTACTGGAGGCCTCCTTTGTGTAAGAGTGAACACTGGAGGGAGTGTTGAGGAAGTTGGGGTGTTGCTGGGTGGTAGGGATGCAAGCTCTGGGCTCGGCCCTGTGGCCACCACCTCGGAGCTACTTCAGCTCCCAGTTAATGATTTATAGCTGTGTGTGTGTGTGTGTGTGTGTGTGTGTGTGTGTGTGTGTGTGTAATTAAGGGTACTGAGTTTATTCCAGTTTTAAGAAGCCAATTTTTAAGTCCCAGAACTTGTGCTGGATCAAAATCTCTCTTCTTCTGGGCCAGGCGGTTTGCTGCTAGCATGAGAGGCTGGCAAGACACTGGCAGAGGCCACACTTCCGCATCCAGCTAGACTCAGGGTTAGCCTAAGTCTAATCCCACAGTTGAGAGTAGCCTTCTCAGGTAGGCAGGTCACCCTGGAGGACAACATACACTACACCCTGGTTATTGGGGTAGATGTTACTAGAAGAACCTCAGAACTTGGAGACTATGGGCACAGATCCTTGGCTCTTAAGTTCAGTGGACTCCTGCCACTGGGGAAATAATTTCAGGTCTAGTGAGTGAGCCATCTCCCTGTGATTGCTGCATGCTCTCTGGTTAAGTACCTTCTGAAGTCCCGGGTGTTGAAGAGCTGGTCCTAGACCATGGCAGTGTTGTGGTGAAAACTAGAGTAGGTGTGGGTTAGTGGGAGGAAGTCAGATCACTGACTTCTTGGTTGTGCCCCCCAAGAGGGATATGAAGATCCTGACCCCTTCTTGTCTCTGTCTTTGCTTTCTGGTGACTAAGTGAGCCGTTTCTTCTTCATGCTTCCCACCATGATTTGTAGCCTCAACACACGGGGCCACAGTTTTTAGGGATGGGATCCTCTAAAAACATGAGCCAAAATAGGCTTTTCCTCTTTGTACACCAGTGATCTCATTGTCATAGTGGCAGAGAGTCAAAACCATGCGTGTAGTATAGCTTGGCTGAGTGCTCTTCAGGTGGTCACTGTCCCTATACGCTGTCCCTTGTCCTGCTGGGAGGTGACCTATGGGAACACCATGACCTTACCACCCCTTTTCAATCATTTAACTCGGTGTCACTCACCCCTATTGGGGGACAGATCATGCTGCACAGGCAAATGCAAATGTTACTATAGTCATATTGCATAGGCTGGGCCTGCATGACTTTGCCCCTCTTTCCCGGTGGAGGGACAGTGTGGAAAGGTTTGCCAGTCGCTCCCAGCTCTTACTGCTAAGGGCTGGGCTGGGCTAGGACTGCCTAGTGTTTGCAGGTAAAGCCTGTGCTCATTCAGATGTTAGCTTCCTCGAACAAGCGATGTCCCCATCTTGGCATCGATCACACACTAATGTAAAATGTGGACAAGCTTTCTGGGCTCACAGAGGTCTGGACATCAGCCAGGGCCACATATTGAGAAGGGATCCAGAGTGGCTCAAGAGTGGCTATGTGTGGGTGGGAGGGCCAGGGCTCAGAGGGAGGCCACAGTTGCTGGGTCTCAGGACTCTTCTGTGCTGTTGGAATCTGTGCATGGGGTAGGTTGGAGGCTCCTGGGACATAGTCTGAAGGTTGATTTCCACCCCAGGTGGTCCTTCATCACTCTGGAGGGGAGTGCCTATGGCAGGGTGGTCCCGGATGAGCTATGGGCTCTGCCCTCCGGGGGGCACTGCAGCTGCACAGGAGCAAGAAGAAAATAACTTTTAATTAACACTTAAGAATAGGAATTGGAGCTGGCAAATCCCTGTGTTTCTTTAGCTTTGCTTGATTGTTCTTGATTAAGCTTCACAAAAATAGCCCATGTGTGGTGTGTGGTCGACCTGCCAGCACGCTTCCACCGTGAAGTGTGTGCCAGGGCACCTGCCTGCCACTCATCTGGATGGGGCCCTCGCAAGGACCACCTGGAGCCCAAGTACGTACAGATGTCTGTGGAGATCATACTGGAGAGGAGGTGTGGAAAAGTGTTCTGTACTCAAGGGACTTTAGGCTGCCACCTGTTCGTCCCCCCCTTGCCCTCCATGTCCCAGGCAACCAAGAGTCTCGACCTTCCTTCATGGTTGCTTGGAGGCAGGACCAGCCCTCTGAGGGAGCTTTGTGCCATTATGCTTCAGATTGAAGTTCCAGTGTGACTGTGCCGCTGCCTGTTTGTGGCAGCATGTGCTGGCTGGGTCATAGGATTTCTTCTGTGTCCCAGCACAAAGGACTCGGCTTGCTCCAGAGCTTCCTTCCTCTCACCCACTGCTCACGGATGGCATGGGACCTGGCAGGGTGTTTGCAGTGTGGCTGATCCACACATATGAGGGACGATGAAGTTCAGTTAGATTAGAAGTGATGGTCTAGGCCAGACAGAGCTCAGATTCACCGGCAGAACGCCGCCGGCCATCTGCAGAGGGCCTCCTGCTGTGCTCAGGTGAGGGGAACTCCCCTGACACTCAGTGTCAGCGCTGTCTCAGTGGGGGCCACGTCACCCTCAAGCAGTGCTGTAGGGCCTGTGCAGTGGTCTAGCAGGTGCTGGAGCCTTGCCTTGGAGTCAGAGCTGTTAAGTCTGACCTCAGAAGGTCTCAGAGTCTGAGATAGGACTCGTCCGTTTGACGTAGGAGTAAGCCTTGCAGGTCTCTGCCTGTCTGGAGCCAGGATATCCTGTCCTTCCTGACCAGCACAGCCTTCTTAGAGCTCTTTGGAATGAGCGAGGTGGCATGGAGAGGAGACGGGGCCATGTGTGGCAGGGTTGGGAGGCAGGCTGGGTCCGTGAGCACCACACACCCACGTCTGGGGCCCCTTTCAGTGCCATCAGCTTGTGACAAACACCCTCTTCCTGTAGGCATGCTCCTCAAAATGCTCAGGCCACTGTGGTGTGCTATCTCTTCTGCTGATGAGCCCAAAGCTGTGCTCTTTTGGCCTTCCTCTGTCCTGGTTCTCATGGTGACCATACCACCCTGCAGCAGCCTCCTGAGGGTGGTATGGGTGCCCTGAAGTCAGGAAGCCTGTGTGGTTCCTGCACCCCAATATCTGTACTCCAGCAGTCGTACATAGGTATAAGGGTATGCTCCTGGCAGCACAGGTGGCCCTGACTTTTGGAGGCTCTCAACCCTGTATGATTATCCCAGGACTGATACCTGGCTCAGGAGCACTGTCCTGATTGTTTTTATTACTATTATTTGTGAAGACGAACCTTAATTGAAAAAATGCCTCCATCATATTAACTGTAGGCACGTCTGTGAGTCATTTTCTTGATTAATGGATATTGTGGGAGGCTCAGAACACTTTGGGTGGTGCCACCCCTGGGCTGGCGGTCCTGGGTGCTAAAATAAAGCAAACTGAGCAAGCCATGAGGGGTAGGTCAGTAAGCAGTGTTCCTTCACGGTCTCTGCTTCAGTCCCTGCCTCAAGTTTCTACCCTGCCTGCCCTTCATGATTGTGATCAGAATGTGCCGTGGTGTTTTAGCAATAGAAACCTAATAAAGACAAATGGGTTTGTGTCTGTGGTTCTGGCTGCATTCCTGACAAGGTTGCCCTGGGTGAGTTCCCTGTCTTCCTGCGGTGGCTATGGCAAGGCATGGTCAGGGGTGGCCCCCGTGTGGGCCTGGCACCAACGTGCCAGCTGAGAGTTCCTGCACTGCCACAGAAGGTGATTGCCACGCCGAGTGCTGCTCAGTAAGCCCACCAGAGGCCTTTCATCCAGGCCCAGGACAGAAGGAAGACTGCCCCCAGGGTGCCTTGCTTCTGTAGAGGCAGCCCCTGGTCTTCCTCTTGTCTGTCAGCAGTAGAACAAAAAGATGGAACCCAGAGAGAAGCCCTACCGGCATTCTCAAGGCCTCCCTGGCCAGAGCACCAGTGCTTCTCCGGGGCAAGCAGCTCGGCTAATTGCTCTACCCATCGTTCTGCTGTTGTTGCTTGTGGACAGGGACAAGATCACCCAAGTCTGCAGGGGGCCTGAGCCGGTCCTGTTATCGGCCATCTACTATTTTGCCACTAGATGGCATTGCGATCCAGGAGAACAGGAGAGGACATGCTCCTGCATGGGATCCAGCCTTCCAGGCACCTTCAGCGGACTGGCTTCTCTTCTCTCTTCTCATATCCATTTGGCAGCCATTTTCAGGGTTCAGTCCCAGTTGTCCCCATTCCTGGCCCACCACTGGATCACAACTACTCATAGTTTGTGATGGGGCTGGCTCCGCTCCTGACAAGGTCACCCTGGGTTGTGCCTTGGATGTGTGCCTGGCAACACCCTTGTTGTTACTCTTTTGGACACATGCCCCTCTTTACTCTGCCCCTGGGAGTGACCTCTGACCTTCCTCTCTGCACAGCCTGACCTGCAGCCTGCCATCTCTTCAGGGCTGGGCCATGTGTTCAGAGGGGGGGCAGAGACTGCTTAGGTCACAGAATTGTCCACTCATCCGTGGACTTGGGAGTCCTGGAGGCAGATGCTGGCAAGCAGACAGATGTCTGAGACCAGAGCCCACAGAATGTTGGGAGGCCCAGAAGTGGCTATTATACCTGCTGGGCACTAAGTGAGCCTATGGGTCTCACAGACAGGGACCCTGCCCATAGCATGGCAGTTTCATGGGAGTCCAGGGGAAATGGGGGAGGGCAGAATCATGTGATCTACAGTTCTGTCTCCAGAACCTTCCCTCCCAGGGTGGGGTGGGGTCTGTTCCTCTGACCCGTGGCTGGAGGCTCATAGTGGACTTTCTATACAGAGTTGGGTGGATACATAGATGTTTAGCAAGAACCCTTGACCTCTAATGTCCTAGTGTCCAGTGTCTGGCCCAGTCTTTACCAGTTTCCCTGTCTGCTGTTCGGAACCACAAAGGGCTAGTGACTGTCTACTGAGGACCAAGGTAGAAGGGGATCCTTGCTTCAAGGATACACATGCCCGTAGCCAAGGCCCAGCTGGGCATCTGCCAATCACGTACCCACTTCACAGTCACACGAGCCAAGTACCCACTGCACATGGTCATACAAGCCATTCCAAATGAGTTGGTAGCCTGACCTGGTCAGCTTCTCCAGACTTTACAAAGGCCCCAGCCATATATCAGCCATCACTTAATCCTGAAGTACACCACAATCCTAACTTGCCTACGGCCCTCTCCATGGGAGTTTCTGGGCCCATTCTTTCCCACTAGAGGTGGCTGGCATGGTGTCCCTGCCACTAGAGGTGGCTGGCATGTATCAGTCACCTGAACCTCAGTATTTGTTACCTAGGAGAAATCAGCCCTTTCCCCTCTGAGAGGGAAGTGTCTGTGAGTTATGGCTGGGGGCTGGCACCCCTGCCAGAATGTGAGGTACTCACTGTGCTGGTGGTGAATTCTGGAGGGTTGTCATTTACATCTGTCACCGAGATGATGGCGGTGGCAGTGTTCGAGAGACCGTAGTTAAGGTTTCCTTCCATATCCGTGGCCTGGACAATGACAGTGTACTGCTGGACTTTCTGGAGGGGAAAGACAACGGGTCAGTCTGTGTTCAGAAGATGGGGGAATGCAGGCTTCCTCACTGGGGTCCTTCCTTGGCACAGGTTGCCTGGCCTTCCTGGAGCTGTGTGAGCTCCCCTTTCTCAGCCTGCGGTTGCCTGGTGGGAGGTGGCTGTGGCAGCAGGGAGCTGACCGTGTCTGGATCTCAGCAGCCTTTAATGGGCACAGCCACTTCTGGTGTTGAGGCACAAGGGGCAGATCAGGGTTCAGAGAGACCTGCACAGTCTTCAGCGTGGTAGAGAAGACAGTCTGCAAGATGCCACTGTTAGAGGAAAGCTGGACTGGAGTTGGGGAAGGAGTGACGGGTTAGCAAATGGAAAGACAGCAGTTTGGGCTCACAAGCTCCACAGGGAAGGAGCAGTGAGCACCTGCATGCAGGTGTGATCTGTGAAAGGCAAGCAAAGGATCATGATACGTTGTATCAGGCACCGAGGGAGTCACATGACCCTGCCCTGCCTCACTGCCTGCACCTAGGGAATCATGTGACTCCCTCTGCTCACTGCCTGCACTGAGAGGCAGAAGAACTGGAATCACACACCTTTCCTGACCAGAGGTAATGTGCTCTGGGCATCACAGCCTCTGACCAGCTGGGGGCAGCTCTGTCCACTTCTCCCTGGCACCGCTGGGGGACTTGATGGAAAGGGCCCGTCTGCATAGTCCTCCAAATGACTTAAATCTCTATTCTTGCTCTCCTGAGATTAGGAAAGGCCAGTTCCCACCACACGACTCAGGGAAGTATGTGTGAGCTCCATACACTCACTGACTTTTCTGACTCCAAGAAAATTATAGGCAGCAGATGGGTCACAAAATTCCTTTGTCTATTCATCCATCATCCCTCCATCTACCCATCCCTTTCTCCGCCCATTCACCATCTACTCACACACTCCTCTACCCATCCTTCCCTTGTATCCATCTGTTCATCCCTTCCTCCCTGATTCCCTCTCTCCCATCCTTCCATCTGTGTCCTTTCTCCCCTCTCTCTGTCCCAGACACAGCCAACCTGGCAGCTGGAGAGGGATAAACGAATGGGCTGCCCACTTGAGGCACTGGAAAAAGAAGCACAGAAACATAGAGACATATGCTCATATATGAACACATGTGCATTCACATGTATATATGCACATGAATGCCTGCGTGCACGTTAGAATGTGTCTACACCTGTGTGCATGTATGCCTGTAGGGCACTATTCATCTATGTATAATGTGCATGTACAGCAGCCTACCACTAGAGGGAGAGCTGGGCTTGCTTTTGGACGGCAGGACTCTGGAGGGAAGCTAGTCCAGCAAGATGGGCTCCTCATGGCCAGGGCGGGCCAGCCATGCTCTAGCGCCTACTGCCTGCCTCTGAGCTCTTGTGGGCCTGACTTTTTCAGTCTCTGCCCCTGCATTACACCTCCATGGAGACAGAAGAAGGAGGTGCTGCGTGCAGTGGGCGTACCATATTCAGGGTCACCCATATTGCTCAACTGCTTCCCTGTGGCACTCCTCCCCAGCCCCCATTAGATATAGCGGGCAGGGCAGGTGCCCCCCGGAGCTGGCCCCAACATCAGCAGCAGAGTTGCCGTGAATTCATCAAAAAGCAACTCCACCATTTTCAAGTTAGAGAGCAGGAAGCTAACCAAGAGCAGTCATCCCTGGAGCGTTTGCTCACCTCCCTGTAGCCCAGCATGCAAATTCTGCAGAACATGCATCAATAATGCATTGGTCGGCCTGCCCTAGAAAGCATCAAAGATTCCCCGGCATGTCCCCATATGCATTATCCCTTGCCAGCCTGGGCTGTTGTCCAGCTAGCCGTGTTCTCTAGGTCAGGCTGAGCCCATGGCTGGGAGCGCCCAGCTTCACCTCAGGCACCGCCTCAGTGAATGCTGAGACTGTCTCTCTCACAAGGTTGCAAGCGTGCCTTCTACTCATTCTGCTCTTTCTGATCCTAGCAGGGTGTCAGTATGGGAGAGTATGAATTGAGGCTGAGAGCCCAGACACATAGAACCCTAAATCCCTCCATCATCCAGTGAGGCCAAAGCCATTGCTGGCCATTCTGAGAGGGTCTCTGATCCTTTTCAGGATTGGGGCTGTAATCAGTCAGCTTCCCATTGGTTTCTCAGGGGCCACTCTCCTTGGGCTTTCCCACTGGTTCCTGCTGGGCACTTTCAGACACTGAGAAGTGGAGCAGCTGAGTCCGTTGTCTTGTTGCTCAGTACCTAGAGACTGCTCTGTGTCCAAGAGTATGGTAAGGGGTTTGCAGGGTTAGCTGTGGGACAGAGGGGCATGCAAGCACCATGGAAACTGAAAAGTTGGACCTAAAGTTGGCATGTAACCTGGAAAGCCCACTCCTGGGTATAGATCCAAAGGATGAAAACGGGTGTCCACACAAAACGCTGTCTGCCACTGTGCACACAGCACTATCTATAGAGGCAAGCCAGGATGGGTACTTGAAACATGTGTGTGGCTATGACGGAGTATCACTCAGCCTTGAAAAGGAACAGCATATTGACACCTGCTATGCCCGGACAAACCTCACGTTATGTCAGGTGAAAGGAGCCAGGTCCAGAAGCCACAAGGATGTCCTCACTAAGGCAATGTGTTCACAGCAGGCAAGTCCACAGACAGCAGAGGCTGCCTGCTGGGGCAGGAGAGAAGGGAGAAGTGGGGGTGACACCAGAGCTGTAGGGTGATGAGATGGCCCGGGAGCTAGGCAGTAGTGACAGGTATGCAACTCTGGGTGAGCAGAGTTCGGTAGTGGGTGAATTCCACAGCATGAGAATTATAGCTCAAGGGGCTGACACAAGACTGCCTCTGAGAAGATGCTGCTCTCCTCAGTGGAGTGCATGCATTCCTTCCTCCTCACTGCTGCTGCCTGGAGGAAACCACAGGGTGGGCTACACAGCTCTGCCCTCCTCCGCCACTCGAGGGGACTCTGTGCTCACTGTCTTCCAGGGTTGCTGGGCTGCTTGTGGGGTGTGGTTGGAGTTCCCAGGCTTCCACAGGGCATCAGGGCGACCCCCCCCCCCCCATGTCATGGAGCAGTCCCTCCCTCCCTTTTGCAGGTTTCTCTGCCTATTCTGCTGCATATTCCAGGATAAGGCGGTGCATTGTGTGTAGAGGCCGCCTGGCTCAGAAGAGTCTCCAGTGACGCTGCTGTGTCTCAGCAGCTGTGGCCCACAGTGAGGGAGAGTGCTCCGCCTTGGCCTACTTGCTGAGGCATCCCTGCCTGGGGGTCAAGTGGGGAAGCGGGTGCTTGGCTCACGGGATGCCCAGGTCCACACTTGCTGAAGACTTGGCATCAAGATGTTGTCACAAAGTGTAGAGGCTACAGAAGCCTCCCTCCCTCCCTGTGTAGCCCTGCAACCTGCTCCGGCACTGCCTCCGTGACTCACAAGAGGGCTCCTATTTCCTTCCGGCCAGCAGCTCTTTCTGCTGCATCCAGAGCAGAGAGAATGCAACCTTCTCAGTGGGGGTGCACAAGCCCCTCCTCCCCACTGCAGCTGCCAGTGAGAGCCAACAGCCTAGCAAGCCTCAGGGGGAGTCAGCTACGCTGCTCTCCCCAGCCAGTCTGTCTCCCTCCCTCTCTCTCTCTACCTCTTTTCTCCATCAGCCACCACCCATGGCGACTGGGGGCTTGTGGAAGGAGGCTGGCGTGGCAGGACTGAGGAAACAGGGCTCCTTCTCAGCCCTTTCTGGCAACCCCTCTAGCTCTTAGGTGCCTGCTCCAGGTTGCTGAGTAAATCACAGGCTAAGCATTGGCCCCCTTCACTTTTTTCTTCTTTCTCCTCGAGGCTGTGGGTTACTCACTTTGGGGTGCCTGTCTTTCCAAGGCTGACTCTGGGACAGCTTTCCCCAGAGGAGGGCTATTGGCATTTGTGAGCTGGTCATGCTCTGTTGCTGACTGTCTCATGCTCTTTGGGGTGCTGGGTAGTATCAGTAGACTCTGCCCAGGGGGTGTTAGGAGTCAGTGCCAGGCAGCAGAGTGTAGTAGTACCCCAAGAGGGACATGGCTTGAGAAGCAGGGCTCTAAGGAAGGAGGCAGACGGTAAATAGGGGGAAACAGTCAAGGGCCCTTCAACATGGACAGAGGATGGTAGGCATGGGGTGCTGGTTGATATATTTGGGAGGACTGTTGCTAGCAGAGGGAATGGTGTCTGCTAAGGCCCTGAGGGAGGTGTGTGTGTGTGTGTGTGTGTGTGTGTGTGTGTGTGTTTATGTATGTGGGTGTATCTAAGTGTGAGTATGTGTGTATGTGGTTTTTTTTTTGTGTGTGTATGTCTGTGTGTATGTGTGTGTTTGTGTGAATGTGTTTGTGTGTATGTGTGTATTTGTATGAATATGTCTGTGTGTGTGTGAGTGTGTGTGTGTGTGTGTGTATGTGTGTGTTTGTATAGGTGCACTCCAGGAAGTTTGGCCTGTAATGGGGAGTGCAGTTCTGAGGATATAGAGGGATCAAAAGCCAATCTAGTATTAGTCAGAGCAAGACAGGAAACCATGGAAGGATAGAGAACAGGAGCGTGGTCACATCTGTGTCTACACAGGAGACTTGAGGGGCCATAAGGACAGATGGAGATGGGAGCAGGGCTCAGCGGAGTTCAGAGAGCTGCTGAGCAGGTGTCACAGGTCTGTGTGGCTTTGACCCAGTGTTGGGCCTGGGCTGAGATCTGGAAAAGAAAAGAACTGCCCAAAGGGCGAGCCCGTCTGAATGGATGGGAAAGTGGGACCTAGAGAGAGAGTCTCACCAAAGGAACATCTTCCTTTTTGCTCCAGGCCAGAGACCATGGTGCTCTGAGACTCTTTCCTTCTCTCACTGTTGGGAGTACTCCACACTGGAAGCAAACAATAGCAAACACCCGCTGCCAGGTTCAGCTAGCCTGGGTTGGTGCCACGGGGGACAGAGGTTGTAGACACTTGAGCTCAGGCAGTTCCTCGCCTCCTAGTCCCTCCTGAGAAGCATGCCAGGAGGTGAAGCCTCTAC